GGGTATGCAGGGGGGGGGCGGGGCGGGGACCACCGGGGGGGAATTTTGTCCCCCCCGCCGGGGGGCTTTTTCCCATGAGATCCAGGGGGGTTAGTCAGGGGGGTGCCCCAACGACCATCAGAGGGTAAAAAAGAGAGAGAGAAGAGAGGGAGGGACTTTTTCTCTTGAAAAGGAAGCTGGACCTGGCCTCGTGATCCAGGGGCCGGGCACAGCAGCAGGTGGGACGTACCTGCCCAGTCTCATATACTCCAGCTTAGTAAACAGAGAGGAGTCGGGAACGCAGACAGGCAAGAACAGGAAACTTTTGGAGCCGAACCAGACCCCGCCTGCTTCGATCATGCTTGGTAAGGAAAGCCTCAGTGGTGGGCGAGAGGCCCCCTTGGGCACTGGGGTGGGTGGCTGGGAAGGGGGTCCCGACAGACGATGCCACCGAGAGAGAGGTTTCTGGGTTGTGAAATTTGCGGAGGTCCTGGAGCCAGTGTGGGTTTCACCCGCTTTGACACATCCGTCCGTCCCTCCGTCTATCGATCGACCTCCCTGCCGATCGACCTACCTATCGGATCAGCCAACCAGGTACATTCGGAAGCCGGAAGTTGAAGGGAAGAATTCCCAAAGGGGGAAAGAATGAAGGTCTTCTGGGGCTTGAAGACGGGCCAGCCGCGACCTATAGGAAACTCAGAGGAAAGGCTGGGCAGATTCTCACAACATTTGAGACCTGGGTTGGGTGGTTGGGCACCAAGATGGGGGAACGCCGGGTTTTTCTCGGCGGGGGGGGCACCGGGCGAGAACTAGGTCTTCCCTTTCAGATTTAGAGACCGCACGGGACGGGAACGCATGCTCTGTGTTTGGTTCAGCTGGGTTTCAGGGGTCTTGTGAACCTGGCCCTGTCTTTCACGGGATTTGGGGAAGAATGGGGACCCTCTCCTGCTTCCTCAGCCACCTCTGAGCCCTCGATCTGATCCCTCAACGCTCCCGAGGCTGTTCAGATGTGGCTGATCAAGCTGAAACTTGTGAAACGTTTCGCCAACACCCTGCTTTTCTTCCGCTCGATCTGGAGTTTAAATCTTGCTTAAAAGGAGGAGGGGGAGAAAAAAGCAGTGTTTCTGACTTCTTCACACCACCTCTCCCCCACCTGGTGCCCTCCGGATACAGTGACTGCCTCTAGAGCCCTCAGCTGGCAGAGCCCCTGGCTAAGGGGATTCTGGGAGTTGTAGTCCTCCATGCCCCTGAGAGCTCCAGGGATGGGGAGATATTGAATTAATTCTGTGTTTGCTTTTCAACTGCTGTTTTTATTTTGGGAGCTGCCTCCAGTAACAATTACGTAAAAAAAGTTGCTTTCCCGGTGCAATCTTCCCTTAAAATAGGAATAATAATGGAATAAGGATTGTTAATCGGGTAACCTTCTGACATGCCCCAAGGGTGCTGCTTGAGTTTAAAAATCAGGAAAAGAAGGTTTGGAGACTCAATGAAATGGCTACGCTAGAACGGCGGCACCTAGTCCATCAAAATGCATTTATGGTCCATAAAGCGCCATAAAATTATCATGGCATCGTTTATTCGAAAGCTTCCTTGAAACTGGCAGGGGCGTCGCTCCGACAGGGCCCTTCCCGAGCCATGCCCGGCAAATGGTACTCTGAGATAGACTTCCTCTGAACAGGGCGGGTCCATCGGCTGGCTGACTGGCACGAGCCTCCGATAAACCTCTTCTGCGTGAACTTGCTTCCCTGCCCTCCACGCAGCACCGCCCCTCGCAAAGCGACGGGGGGACGACCGTGCCCAACCTGGCCTCCCGCGAGGCAAGGATGATGGGAACTGTCATCCAAGAGCAACTGGAGGGACCTCCCTGCCCAGCCAAGACAGCTGTCTGGATGTGCAGTTTGCCTTTCCCACCTTGGGGTCACGAGCTCCACCGGGGAGATTACGGTCTGCAAAGAGGAAGGGTTTCCTGTTGACAGAGACCAGCTCCAACGTGAGCGATTCCTCTTCCTCATTCAAATATCACACGGAGCAAAAACCTTGGCCTTCCACGGATAAAGCCGTTGATCCGACTCCGTGTTACACGCCAGGGGCAAGCCGTGAACGAGGCGTTGCTTGTCGTGGCCTGATCCACGGATGGGACCCGGATTAGCTCTTTCCGCTTTATCCGTCGATTTAGTACCGGCGCCGTTCGCTTTGGGAATGCGTGGCGAACGTAGAGAGGAATGTACCCGTCTGCCTAAAAGATGCGGAAAAAGTGCTTGGGAAAATCCATGCCAAACGTCCAGGAAGGGCACCTCCCAACAGGGATATGCCAAAATTAAAGGCACAGTAAAACCATCACGCCCCAAATTGCTCCCTTTGTCGGGTTTGAACCGGCAATCTTGAAATGCGTTAGCGAGTCGTGGCGGCCGTCGGGATGAAGCAAAAGATGGTCTTTGCAGGTTCGTTTTACAGAAGTGGCTGGAATTTACACCAAGTATCCAAGTCGGTGTTTCTCAACCTCGACAACTTTAAGATGGGTGGACTGGGTTGAGGTTGAGAAACCCTGATCCAGGTTGTGTCTTGAACCACACAATCTGTGCTGCTTTTCCAGGCACGACAGCATCTTGTGCAAAACGCCAGTTTCTAAACAACATTTAGCCAACGTTTAATTCAACGCCTGTTCTGCTGTTTCAACGCCGCCTCCGATGGACTTAAATCACCTTTAATGCGTGTGCTTCCCCCTCCCCGAAAAAATACCCAATACAGAATTGGAAAAAGACCTCTTCTTTCTACATGGAAGAGGAAATAGATCAGATCCTCATCGGCACCATTCTGATTTAAAGCCCTTTTTCCTAGCTCCTTCTGTCTGTGCTGCGGGCAAACGATTTGGGAGCGTTAAAGGCAAATATATCACACTCAGTCATACGGGGCCACCGTGTCCCAACCATTTGAAAGGAGTCAAATTAAATGGACCATTTTTTAAAAAAAAGAAAACTGAAAACATCAGTGCAGGAAACAACGTTTTGTCATCGTCGCAAATAAAAACAGCGATCTTCAAAAGTCGGTAATGAGTACTTACCCAAACTCTGCACGGAAGGGCAAGGAAACAACGTCCGCTCTGTGTGGAAGAAAAGAGGGGGGAAAATACGCTTCTTTGTATATTTAAATAGCATAGGATCAATTCCTTTCTTTGAGAGAGAGTTTCAACACCTCAATAAACAATAGCAGGGGCGATTCGGGGAATAACAAGGAGCTATACAAGATAATGAAATAATGATTGGGTTGGGCTCAATCAGTTTTCTCAAACTTGGCGACTTTA